AATTAGGCTGGTCCCACTGCTAAAACATAGTGCCACGTGTCGCTTCCGGTTTGTGACTCATAACAAAATCGTTTTGTACTTCCAATAAGTACAAAATAATAAAACTACAAGTCACGACAATATTACAATCTTAAATTTCACTACTAACTGATTGGCATGTATAAATGGAGTGAAGATGACCAGTTTTCTTACCATTGTAGCCTTAAGCGTTATAGGGACAAGAGTCGATATCTCTATTTTGTATAGCATTCTATCGACCTTCAACATTTCTCTGACTTTATCATACAAGTTTACACAAGAAATTATTTTCGAAAGAAGAATAAGCGTTGTTTTCCCTTTGTCACTCCCTACATATTTTCATTTTCATACACTTTCAACTGACTGCTAATATTTAGCTGAATGACAAACTGATATTCATATCATATTTACGGTGTCCATAACTGCAATTCAACAAAAAAATTGAAAATTTCATCAAATATCAAATTTTCATACAGTACTAATAATGATATATACGTGTGTATGAGTGCGTGTGTGTCGTTATGGATTGTAAAAAATGATGTGCAAGTCATTTTGTATAGCAGAAGATCAAATATATGTTTTACAATAGAACAACATATAGAATAGCCAACACGTGTTTACCAACGTACATTTCATTTCAACTAATATAAATTAAGGGTAATAAGAAAATAGGTTAGGAAGCAACCCATATCAGAACTCTAATCTAATAATAAAATGAATCTAAAATTATTATTGACAAATGAACATCATAAACACACATACAACTACACGAATAAATTATTCAAAAAAATGGAGAAAGAAAGTAGCCCAGTATAGAAAATTAACAATACATTATCTTCTTCTCCAAATTCTCAACGAGAATGTTATAAGCTTGATTACCCACTTCAACCAAATGGGTGTTCAAGGGAATGAAAATGTAGATTTTATGGTTTCATGAAATAGAGAAGACGATGATAAGAAAATGAAAAATGTTCATAGAAGATGTCGAAGCCGATTGTGGAAGAAATGGAAGCTAAAATTCCATTGGAGCTAAATGGGAATTAGGGCCATTAACATCTTTTTTTACCTTCAATGATATTTTAGGGTGTTTTTTATTATATTTATTTTCCATAAAAAATATTAGTTTTCTATACAAATTCTTATTTTGGAGTGTTTGATTGCTATTTTTTTCATTGAAAATATGCCTAATTTTCTTTGTTTTTAAGAAAAACATTTTTTTTGGTGGAGTAGATTTTTGTTTTCCTCAAAATAAGGAAAATATTTTCTTTTCTAGGAAATATTTTTCATTCCTATCAAACATAAGTAATTTACAAATTCTATTATTCATTTATTTTTATAGTTAAGCTATCTAACTAAAAAAGATAGACGTTGGCATTTATAAATTATTTTCTTTTTTGATCGGGTCTTTTAAATGAAAGCCCCCAAAATCATTTGACAAAATGGCTTAACTCTTTATAAAAACTTTGACCTCTTCGACCGGTAAATAATTGAATGATATGTAATTTTAGGTCGAGGACTTTGAATAATTATTAGTTTCTTTCCCCTTTTGCATTCTCCAGTACTCATATATAAATAAATAATTTCTAGTTTTATCCATATGGTTAAAATTCATCATTGACTATCCAACTTTATGCTTGGAGTCACTAATACCACCAAACTTGATTTTGTTTCACTATGATCAACCAACTTTATACTTAGTGTATCATGGTCACCCAATTTCATATAATATTTTACCATTTTCACTCAGGGGGTAAAACAATAATTTTGTATTATATATAAAAAATAAATTAGAAAAACAAAAATAAATTAAAATTTTTTAAAAACATTTATTTTAAAATAAGATTTTATTTTATTTTAAAACCATTTTTTAAATAATTTTTTATTCTATTTTGTTAAAGAATTTTTTTTAAAAAAAATAAATTTTTATTTTATTTTAATTTTTACGTAACTTTTTTTTAAAAAAATAAGT